TCATTAGCTAATTCCCAGTCCCAATATTTCTCAGTTTTAGTTGTCTTCTTTTTCTTCTCACCCTGTCAAAAAGCACATAAGCCAACTATAACACAATATACTGAGTAAAGAGTTTGCTACAATAATAATATCAGAAAGAATGGAATGGTTACGTCTGGCTTTTCTTCTTCTCCTTTTTTTGGTTCTTCTTCCTCCTCTACCTGCCCAATGATCAAATATAGGAAACAATGGTTAAAGAGCTACTTTTTGAATGTGTACGAAATTCAAGTGCCTATAACAAAACACAGTGACTCCTTGTCATTGGATATGGAGAGAAGGAAAATCAAATATTTTAAAGGGAATAAGCCAGGTGGTAACATCTTCAAAATAAACAAATAATTTTTTAACAGGTTTTACATATAGTTATAAATATCAAACATAATGAGAATGTTAATACAAGTTGAAACAACTTGAGCCATCCATGAGGCACAAAATCTGCACTGAAAGAGAAGCTGAGCATTCACAAGGGATTGGAAGAGGGGAAACAAGTTTGATATTTTTAAATTGTTTCCATGTGCTAACTGCCAACTGGTACAGATGGAAGTAATTATATCAAAACTAGAAGAGAAATGCGCACACTAACCTCAACCGTCCTTGATTTTTCTTGCCAAGTGTAGATAGGAAAAGAAACAAACTGGGAGTAATTCTTCACCAAATTCTGAATTCTGGCAGGATCCGAGAATTCATACTTGTCATCTGACTGCAAGAGAACAATATCTTAGATCACGTTTGGCACTTAGAAGAATTGTACATTTGAAGAACCAGAATGTCAAGGCAATTATAACAATAAATTGTAACAACAAACACTACATTAAAATCTCAATTCTATTTACTATCTTCTTTTACTATTTAAACATACAAATGCAAATAGATACACAGAAATATTGAAACAGGATTTAAAGGGGAAAAAAGGAATGAACAGATAGAGTACCCTTAAATAAAGTGTAATCTGTGTACCACGGTTTAGAAGCTTTTCAGGATCAGTTTCCTCCCTAATCACATAGGAGCTACTATCTGCTACTGCTTCCCAAACATATTGCCTATCTGACCTTGGGCTCTTTGTGGAAACAGCTACCTGATCAAGAAATACATAAGCAAGGAAAGCCAGTTAACAACCTAACTTGGAATTATTGAATGAAAAAGGCTTAATAGAGGAAGGAGAAGACAAAATGCAATTAAGCAAGATGTCAATTAAGCAGATAGTACATTACCTTCTCAGCAACAAGAAAAGCAGAGTAGAATCCAACACCAAATTGACCAATCAAACTATTTTCTGCCCCTAGATCCTTATTTTCCTACAGCAAGAAGATGCTAAATAAGTGACGAAAAACAGTAATTTTTTCTTTATTTTATAGAAAAGATAGTTATTTACGAAATACAAAGACATTACCTTCAGAGCCTTAACAAATTTTGAAGTACCACTTTGAGCAATTGTTCCAAGGCAGTCAACAAGCTCGTCTTTTGTCATTCCAATACCAGTATCTCTACATATCCATTAAAAAAATAAGTCCTCTATCCTTTCAACTTTTTTCAGGAAGAAAGGTCATAAACCAACATACGTGATAGTGATAGTCCCATTATCTGGATCAGGTTTGATGCGTATCTCTAGTTCCCCAGCATCTCCAAGCAGAGATGGCTCAGTCACACTTAAGAATCTAAGCTTATCTAAAGCATCACTCGCGTTACTGGAGCACAGAAAGAAAACTTTGTCAGCAATCAGTACAGGAAACCAACTAAACCAAAAGTAATGTAGCATGAAAGCTTTCCAATACAAATCTCACAAATTCAAACACAAAAAACTGTCTCCATGTTGAAACCGTGCATTAAAACCTATGAAGCCAAACATTTCAATTGAAAACTAGGAGTCCTTATAAAAAAAAATGAATGTCAGTTATATGAGGAAAATAAATATCCACACCTCACAAGCTCTCTCAGAAACACCTCTTTGTGGCTGTATAGACTGTGAACAATCAAATCCAACAAGCGAGTAACCTGCAACAATTTGTATACTTGTATCAACTTCAGAATAGAAAATATAGGACAAAAACCTTCAACATAAACAAACACCTACAATTAACCAACTAAAACTTCTATCCAATAAAAAAAGCAGTAATTTATAAGTCTCATAGTACACCAACTAACATCATTTTCCTTCATTTTCTTATAAACCAACCAAGTAAACCCCTAAATATTCCACCAGAAACCCAAATAGTAAAAGAATAAGAAAGAGCAAATCCAGGAAAAATAGAAGAAACCCACCTCGGCCTGGTACTCAAATTTCTCCCCAGTGGTCTCCTCGGCCTGTTTCTCAGCAACAGCTGACTTCTCACATCGAACCGCAATCCGATTGCTTCTCTTCTCAAGTTTCCACCTTAACCCAGAGCAAGAGAAGGCCTGGTTGAGACCATTTCGTGGCAGAAAAGGGATTCTGAGATTGAAGGCCTTGTTGGGGTTTGTCAAAGGGAAAGACGCTAAAGATGGGATAACCAAGCTTCTACTTAGAACTGGAGCCATCAAGGCAAAGCCCTAGACAAAGGGAGAGTCGGGCAATAAACAAAAAAGAAGATAAATGTTGGGTTTTGAGACAAAGGAGTGAAAACCCAACTTAAGGGGTTTAAGGGAGAGAGTGGAGGGTTCTAGAAATTGGAAAACAAGGTGGGAAGGTTTGTTTGAGTTAGGACTTTGGAGTTACTTGTCCTTGGAATTGTAGGGCTTAGATTCTGCCATCTCAGCAACCTACTACAATATTATCCCCATAATTTTTTTTTTTTTTTAACTTTAATTTCAGAGTTAAAAATTGTTGCCTACTTTTTTCTCATTAATCAATAGAAATTAAATAGGAAAAGTAGTTTTGGTTTGATTTTCCTTCCCTTTGTTAGTAAGGTTTTTTTTTTTTTTTTTTTTAATCTTGAGATTGATATTTATACTAAAATTTGAAAAGTTTTTAGAAAATGATATATTTTTTAGATTAATATTTTAACTAATTTTTTATAAATTTTTTATTGTTAATGTTCTAATTAAATTCAAATTATAAATGATATTTTCAATAAATTTTAATATATTATTAAATTTTCATTAAATTCTAGTAATTTATGGATTTCAATTTTTATTAACGTTTTTATTAGATTGTTTTTAATTTAAAAATTTATAAATTTTATCTAAAATTTTCATTTAATTCGTGCTCTTGTTTTCAATTATTTCTCTCCTCATAATAATAAATGATATCAATCAAGAGTTTAAATTATTGTGGCTTGTGGGTAAGATTGATAACATAAGTAAAAAAATGCTAATTGATATTTATATTATTTGATATATTATTAAAATTGACATTTGATGACATTTAAAAATTATAAATTTAAATAAATTTATATAGGTAATATTTTTTAATTAAATAAATATTAAGATTGAATTTAAGAGTAAATTAATAACTTAAAAAATATAAGCAAAAATTATGGCTATGTACAAGTTTTCAAAAATGAAAAATTTGACCCTAAACTTGAGTTAATTAAGTAATTATAAAGGAGATCCCTTTTCCAATATGTTACATCTAAACTTTATTTGGAATTGAATTTTTTCAACCATGGCTCTCCTTCTTTTTACGCCTCTTTTATCTCCTTACAAAAATTTTTATAATTATAAAATATATCATTTATATAATTATATAATAAAATTATTAATAAATAAATAGATAAAAATAATAAATATATAAACAAATAATCCATTTTATAACCAAATAATTTTTAGTAAGTATTAAAAAACATATTTTATAATTAATTAATTAAAATAGATAACTAAATAAATAATAAAATCAATTAGTATTATTAACTTTTATTTTAGGATGTGTAAATATGTTTTGTTTTGTTTAAATAATAATTATTTTTATTACTATTTGAATTTTTTTGTTATATATTTTTATTTTAATATTATATTTATAATTGTTAGAAGTATTATTTTTTGAAATATTAAATATTTATTGTTATTTTTAATTTTATTAAAATTAATCTCATCGTTTGTTAGAATGAAATTAAATATTAGTCCGTACAAACTACACCAAATTATAAACTTGGCAGCTAAAAGAAGTCCGTTACAGTTTTCGGGTGCCTTTATATTTACATCGGACCTCCAGTGCGGTGAGATTGTCATAAAAAGTCGTGTCACCCGTAGCTTTGTAATTCAAACAACTTTTCAGTATGCGTTATAATTTTCGTCGATTATTCATTGGAGCTTCAGCTTCGGGTTCCATTCCACCACCGCTCCTTTATTTATTTTGTTTGTTTACTCTTTTCTCCTTCAGCCCACACTTTGTTAATCCGTTAATTTTTCTTTTTTATTTTAATTTTTGTTTAAAAATTACTAAATAACTTTTGTTAATTTAATGTAAAAATAAAATTTTACTATTATATAATAAAATAATAAATAAATAGATTTTATTATATAATAAAATAATAGATAAATTTTAATTATTTAATAAATAAAATTATTATTTGATATAAAAATAATTTAATAACTTTTTAAAATAATTTATTAATTTTATAAATATTAAATAATTCAAAATTTATATTATATATAAATTTTAATTTAATAATTTTAATAATTATTTTTATATTTAAATACATAGATATATTTGAACTTAAATTTAATTAATATATAAAAATAAATTTAATTTTTATATTCAATAAAAATTTAATTATTTATATTTAATTTTAAATTTAAATTTAAAATATTTTATTAATTAAAATAATATAAATATATCATATAAAAATTTAATTAAACTCACAAATTATTTAAATTAAATATAAAAATATTTAAATTCAACTTCATCAATAAATCAAATTATTTAAATTTAATTTAATAATAATTAATTTGAATTTAAAATTTATTCTAATAAAATTTAATTAATTTCTAAATATTAATATATCATTTATAATTTACGGTAGCTTCCTTGCGGTTGCGTTGAAGTTGCGCATGCCAAAGTTAAAATACACTGACATGACATGACATGCGCTTCACTTTCCAAGTCTTTAGTGTCCACCGCTGTTTCCCTACTTGCCACGGCCACGCGTCGTCTGATTCATCTTCTTCCACCCAAACCAGTATCCTCTCTTCTTCTCTTCTCCATCAACCAACTACCATGTCCGCCGAGGCAAGCCTGAATAGGAACCCCCACGTCCTGGTCTTCCCATACCCAGCCCAAGGCCACATGCTCTCTCTTCTCGACCTCACCCACCAACTCTCTCTCCGTGGCGTAACCATCACCATCTTAATCACCCCTAAAAACCTCCCTTTTCTCTCTTCTCTCCTCTCCTCTCACCCTTCTTCCGTCACTCCCCTCGTCCTCCCTTTCCCTTCTGACCCCCTCATCCCACCCGGGGTGGAACATGTGAAAGACCTCGGCAACAGGGGGAACCTTCCCATCATGGCCGCTTTAGGAAAACTTCACGACCCTTTAATCAACTGGTTCAACTCTCACCCTAACCCTCCTGTTGCCATCCTCTCTGATTTCTTCCTCGGTTGGACCCAACACCTTGCAACCCGCTTGCAAATCCCCAGGATCGCTTTCTTCCCAACCGGTGCGTTTCTTCCTTATATCTTTGATTATATTTGGAGCAACGTTGAAAAAGTCAAGTCTTTCAGTGAAGTCGAGTTTAGTCATCTCCCTGGATCCCCGGTCTTTAAGCAGGAACATTTGCCATCCGTGTTTCAGCTCTACAAACAATCAGATCCTAATTTGGAGTTTGTCAAGGATAGCATGATCGCAAATACAAAGAGTTGGGGTTATGTTTTAAATTACTTTGATGCTTTGGAAACTCAGTATGTTCAAATTTTCAAGAAACATGTTGGTCATGATCGTGTATTCACTGTCGGACCACTTAGTTTAACAGGCCCGGATGTATCTGGTGGAGGCAATTCGGGCTCTGGTTCTGAGCCGAATGACCAGGTGTTGACTTGGCTTGATGGATGCCCCGATGGGTCTGTTGTTTATGTTTGCTTTGGGAGTCAAAAGCTGCTGAGAAAGGAACAAATGGAAGCCTTGTCTAATGGTCTTGAAAAGAGTGGGACTCGTTTTATCTGGGTGGTGAAACCGGGAACGACCCAACAGCAGGACGACGGGTATGGAGTGGTACCCGACGGGTTTGAGAACCGGTTGATGGGTCGGGGTTTGGTGATAAAGGGATGGGCCCCGCAATCGTTGATACTGAGCCACAAAGCGGTGGGTGGGTTTCTGAGTCATTGTGGGTGGAACTCGGTTTTGGAAGGGATAGTGGGTGGAGTCATGATATTGGCTTGGCCCATGGAGGCAGACCAGTTTATGAACGCCAGACTCTTGGTGGATTATGTGGGTGTGGGTGTTAGAGTGTGTGAGGGCGAAGACTCGGTCCCTGACTCCGATGAACTGGGTCGGGTCATCGCTGAGTCAATGACTGGGGGTGTAGCAGTGAAGGTGCAGGCAAAAGATCTGAAAGAGAAGGCTTTGGCAGCAATGAGTGATGATGGGAGCTCCATCAAGAATTTGGATAGATTTGCGGAACAATTGGGTCAACTTGGAAGGAGATAAATCCCGTCATTTGCTCAATAAACAACACCTTAAGTGAGAGGAAGTTGTGAGGAAAAATTTATGTAAACCTATGGCGACAAATGATATAAATCTTATTGGAGCTCGTCTACGTAACATGTCAGTAGAGAAGAAATCATCAACGATTAAAGTACACTCAGCTTCGCTAAGCACATTGTAATGATAAATAAGCTATAATTGGGAAAAAAAAGAAGAAGAAAAATCGTGTTTAAAATGCGATTAAGCCCTTTGAAGTTTTAAACATAGCTATAAAAACTGATCTATGTCCAATTCAATATTTCAAAACAGTTAGCTTGCCTAATGAACTAAAAACAACATAGCTCTTTTTATAAGTATTAGTTTTAAGTATGTGCGTGATACATATGTAATATTTATTTTTTAAAATTTATTTTAATAAATAATTTTTTATATAATAATAATAAATATTAATATTAATTTTAATTTTAATATAATATAAATAAAATTTGATAATTTTTTAAATACTTTTGATGATAATAAAATAATAATAATAATAAAATATTACTAATTTAATTCAAAATTTTTATATTATAAGTAAAATTTAATAACTTTTTATATAATTTTAGTTTTAATAACTTTTGATAAAATTTCGGTAATCTCTTATATTAGTTTGATAATTCATGATATAATTTTGACAATTATTTAATAAAATTTTAGTAACATTTTGATATAATTTTAATAATTTTTTAATAACCTATGATATATTTTTTGTAATTATTGACAAAATTTATACCATCATATATTTTAACAATGAATTATCGCAAGAGAACGCGAGTTCAATTTAAGTATAAAATAATTTTTTTATGTAATAACATTATTATTTCATTCAAATTTAAAATTTTTCGCTAATGTTTTTATTAAATAAGTTCATAGTAGGTTCAATTGATATAAGAGTGAAAATGTAGAAATATACAATATTTTTCCTAATAAGAGAGTTTAATATTAATTCTAAAGAAATTTAAAATCAATATATTTATATATTTTTCATTTAATATTAACTTTCTTTGTCACATGAAAAAGATAAAGTTACGAAGAATCGGATAATCTTTCGTCTTATTTTTTTCTTAAGATAATCTTCTATTGGTGATTCCAATAATCTTAAATTGAATGTAATCATATGTTCTACCGATTAAAAGCTTAATTTTTTTATTTGAAAATTTTAATTATACATAAATTTTTATTATATAAAAATATTAAAATGCATGGTACTTGCCATGTTTTCTTAAGAAAATTACAATTCTCAAAATAATAAACTTGTTATGTAAGATTTATACAATTTATAATGATTTTATTTTCAGTATTAACAATATAAATTTTTATGAATAAATATATCTTTAACATAAATATATTCAAAAGATAATTCCAACGAATTTTATCATATCTTGAAATAATTCACAAAAAACAATTAATTTTATTTCACTTAATAATTCTCTACTTGAAATAACTTACATTAAATCGTTCAATCACTCGAATGACAGAAAAAAGATCAATTTAATACAATTGAGAAAGATTAATCTTTAGATAACAATTAAAAGAAATTTAAATTAATTATTATTTCAATTAAAGTGAACAATTCTTATGAAAATTTGATGGAACCAAATTCTGAGATACTGGTAACTCTAGCACCGCGTAAATCATCTAACTCTGCAAGTGGAAAGTCCAATTAAAGTGTTCAATGAATTAGATAATGCTAATTGTAGGTGGAGAGTATGTAATTGATTTGCATTTGATTTAATATTAGTTTTTGTTTATGAGAATAACAATTATAAAATTCTAAATACCAAAAAGAAATTAATTATAAAAATCAAACTAAATTGTAAGAATGATGTATTAAAGAATTATTTCAATGAACTAAAAAGATTTAAATATGCTATCAATAATCAAATGATTAACTCATAAAATATATAAACAATAAAATCATTAAGATATATATATAATTGACAAATCTATTAAAACAAAAAATTGAAAGGCAAAAAATAGAAAAAAAAAAAACAAATATGCTTCAATGACTTAATTATGATTAGATTAAATAAATTTATTTATAAACATAAACCACATATATAATTATTTTTAGAATGACTAAAGAAACAAAATCCATATAATTATTTTATTCCTATGCATGCTTAATTTTGATTTTGTTCTATTTGAATTTATATATATAGTTAATGCAAAATGAATAACTACGTATATTGTGTGTTCTCACCAGTAAGAATCTGCCATTAATCATTTCCAGATCTTCACAAGCATCCCTCGTACCTGGAGTAGTCATTCACAGGTGCACCTGCTTGAACAAAAAACAATAGCACCATCAA